CTAAGCTGCTGACCTGTATCTCTGTAATTTCTTAAGGTATATTATATGTCATGCAAAAAGTATTTCCTAGTGAATTAGTTGCCTTCTATGACTCTCCTGTGTTTTGCCAAAATAGACACGAAATAAAAAATCTTATCAATCAAGATTAACAAGATTAGAAGGAATATTGCTTCTAGCACTCAGAAATTCCTAAACTTCATCTCTAGTGGCAGCAGATGCAGTGCCTGCTGCATGCCAGAAGATTAACCTATGGAACTTTTCACCAATTCTCTCGCTAAATTAACAATGCCAAGTGAAGTTGGCAGTAAAGATCCTGCAGCCAAGCAATGTGCCAGCTAGACCCACCTCCAGCTTGAGGATCACTGACATAAGAAAAAATCTTTTTATTGGCCAATTAGTTTCTCTGCTGCTAATTATCTTGAACTTGGACTAAACAGACATCAGTCTCACATGATGATCTTATTTCTTCAAAACATAAATACACAAGATTCCTACTCTTTCTAAATATATGCACGGTGTGTGTGCGTATATAATGTGAATGTTTTAAGACATCTCTAAACTGTGATTTTCTTGTACATTTTGTTCAGCTCACAATAATTTTATAATTGTGATTGTCGTTCATCTGAATGATGAGAAAGTTGTAACCTAAGGTCAATATTTTGGAAGCACTTAGACACATATGGAAGGTGGTTGGGCTGATTTATGCTTTGTGGCTTATTTATACTTCATTTTTACTAAACCGATGGAAATCGTGTGACTGACACCATTTGTGTATGGCCTACTTATTGATTTTTCCACAAGAGGGGACTGTTATTTGCTAACACTAATGTTAAAATAATTTTATTATTATTAAAAGCTACAACCATAGAAGTACGTATTGTTGATACATATCTTTATTATGATGTTATTAATAATTGAAATCAGCTAATTTTTCAGATGGTATGCCCTATGGCCTGTTAAAATACTCTAGCAGTCAAAGGTTAAAGTTATTATGAAGTCCTTATACTTTTAAGTGATCCTATACAAACAGAATATTGTGGTTAGTGATGATACAATGAGGATGTGGCACTGAGGCATATCCTCAGGCTTGTCATTATCTCAGGAAGCTCTGCAGTTCTGTTCTATAGCACTTGACTGCCTGCCACATTTTGTATTTTCTTTCCCAGTTTTGAAATTCCACATGTGCAACCTACAAGTTTTCAAACCTACCACTGATCTTAAATTTTATACCAGATTCTTCCACCACTGTTCCACTTCCTGAAATTTTGCTTACCACTGTATGCAGCAGTCATATAAAAATAGATTCTCAAATAAAAGTGCAGATTATTAGTTGGATTATTATTCTTGAACTTGAATTAAAGTCAGATTTATTACACTTAGCTATATGCTGCTAAAACAACCTGATGACTGCATTGCTCAAAACTTTCATGTGAGCTATGTACAGGGCTTGCCCTTATGAGACATCATACAGGGGCTGTATTCATTCATGTTTAATGCTTCAAAACGATTTTTCTCTTTGGAACTAAGATATTTCAACATTTCTATTTTGGCTGTTTAGTTAAAACTGACTGAATAGCTTTGCATTCAGTCAGTCATGACTGAGAACATAACTGCACCTGAGGCAGGATTCTCAGGCAAATTATTTAGAAATGTCAGGGATTTTTAAGTGTAGTTTCTGAACTGAACTTTCAGTGATGATTCATTACAAGTTGCACTGATAATTTAAATTGAATCGTGTCAGGCTGGCATTGTTATAAATTACTTTTGTCAAAGCAGCCTATTTGTTTTTGTCTTCTGAATGGCCACTTCTGATATTCAGATCTGGCACTGCAATCTAGTGAGGCAGAGGAAAGGAAGAAGTGAGATTTTGTATCCATAGTAGGTATCACATATATACATCTAATGCAGATTTTTTTAAATGAAATTTTCATGTTTAAAAACTTCAGGGGTTTGGGGGGAAGTGTTCCCATCTAGATGGCTTGATGTCTTTATAGTCTAAATATGTATTTATACATATTGCATAGTTATTTTTTTCTGCCCTGGTGTTTCACTGATAGATTTTAAATGTGTTAAGGAGTTCTTAAGAACATGATTCAAATTCTGTTCCAGTAAATCAAAGACTCTGACTGGTTTCAATGAATTTGAACCACTATACAGGCAATCCTGTGCATTGATTAAAGAAGAATGTAAGCTGTATATGAGCTATATATGATCTGGACTTGTTTAGCCTGGAGAAAGATGGGGGATCTTATCAATGCATACAAATATCTTAAGGACAGATGTCAAGAAGATGATACCAGACTCTTCAGTGGTGCCCAGGACAAGGAACAATGGGCACAAATGGAAGCACAGGAAGTTCCATCCAAACATGAAGAAGAACTTCTTTACTCTGAGTGTTACAGAGCACTGGAACAGGCTGCCCAGAGAGGTTGTGGAGTCTCCTTCCTTGAAGATGTTCAAAACCCACCTGGATGTGATCCTGTGCAACCTGCTGTAGGTGGGCCTGCGTTAGCAGAGACGTTGGACTAGGGGTGATCTCCAGATGACCCTTCCAACCCAACCATTCTGTGATTCTGTGACCTTCGTAAATTAATCTTTCCCAGGACATTGTGTGACACAATCATTTCTCCAAAAATTCTCCTTTTATTTTCTGTATTTTTTTAGGTGTGAGTGTTGGTAGTAAAACCTTTTAAATTAGTGACATGACATTTCTCTGGTATCAGACCTACACCCATGAGAAGGCTGTCTTGGTACAGACAAATACATTATGTATAGTAATTGTGCCAGCTGCTCTATCACAGATGAATGCAATTGTTGTGAGGACACTACCATGAAAAAGACAGGAGTTTTCTAGTAATATGTTCTCTAGTCATAATCTAACCATCTTGTGGAACATTAGTTCAGAAAAATTAGCTATTCTGAGACTACACTGTTATAAAACTTATCAGACAATCAAATCTTTGAACCAGTTCAGGTTCAAAACTGGATTTTATATACCCTTTTCTGTTGGAATTACACTGCTGGTATTAAGGATCATGTTTCCTACTTTTTAATGAGGTTTAAATAGTTTGCTATGTAGATTAGAATTTCTTTACTTTTCCAGGAGAAACAGAGTCAACTCCCCCTTAACTACTATGTTAGTAGATTATGATTACATTTGGACAATGTCAAAGACTTTCTAAAGAAAACTTCCAAAGGCCGCTAAGATTTATTTCCTTTTAAGACTAAAAATAATAAATAAAAGAAATTCAGCATATAAGCAAATAAAAGTCCTATCCAAGGACTGGTTTGATTTTCAAAACACAACTCATTTGCAAAACAGTGTTCCTAAGCAGTTTAAAATGTAGACACCATCTTCTCTTTATTCATGGGTTTGCTAAATTAACATAATCCCATGAAAGCAAAATCAATGCTGTAGAGACAATGAACACTTTTTTTAATTAAAAATACATTCCTTCTTAACTTCTGGAAGTTTGAAAATGTAAATATTGAAATCACTGGGAGAATTTTAATTTTTTTTTCAAAATAAGGCTGTGGTTTGTGCTCACAAAGTCTCTTTGAAACAAAAAGGGGGATTTGCTCGAACAGTGTGATCAAAAGTGTCCCCATGTGCCCCAGGTTTACAACCCCCAAACATTTCCAAGGTGAGTGTACATCTCTTTCACTTAATATACAGAGATTATTCTGTATGTATAGAATATGCACATCCCCTGAAAATGTATTTCTGTGTGCTGGTGCTGGAGTCAGGAGTTTGGTATTTATACCTGTCAAGCACAGAGCAAGAGTAACTGAAGACAGAAGGACTACTCACAAATTTACATAAATGCTTAAGGATAAATGTTAACTGAAATAGGGATATCTATTGAGATTAGAGATATGGGACATGGGTTGTAGGCAGTTATCACCACTGCTCCTGCTCCGTGCAGTGGTGATTTGGTAGTGGCCATCAGGCTGGACACATGCTGACTGCCCTGGGTGCTCACTCCCAGAACAAAGGGTGTGACTCGTGGGACAGAGAATGGGGCTGTCTCTAAACACCGCAGAAGAGATATTTAAAGAAATCACAGGACCTGCAAGAAACCAAAATATTGATTGTTTCTTATATTCTTTTTCTCTTGTTTTGTGGAATAATGTTTGTTCATTAAACCCCATATGACTGAACTAAACTGGTAGCTTGATTTTAAATTAGGTGGGAACTGTAGTGGCCTCTAACCCAAGGCTGAGTCAATATATTGCACACACTTGCTGACATTGCTCAGCATTTCTACATTTTGCTTTCCACAGACAAAATGCTCCTCAAACTAACATTCATACTATGCTGTTTGAAGCACATGACTCCGTTCTGTTGCCTGTGGACCAGGAGATGCTGGAGCCACTGCTCTAATAATTCTTCAAAGGATGGCCAGAGGAATCCTAGGTAAGCAGATGTAAATCTGCACTTGCCCAGGAATCCTGTCTAAGGGAAGGACTTGCAGATATGCATTTTACATAAGCATATTACATTTTATGCACATGAAAGAAATGAACATGATGCCAAAAATGCATGGCAGTATTTACTCAATCAGACAGTACCAAGGTAATCAGCAAGTTCAGCATACACCAGTTAGGGGGGCAGTCAGTCTCTGTGCTCTGTTATTTACAGATTCTTCCCTTCCCATGGATTTTTAAAGGAAGCAGCACATTTTAAACTAAATGGTCAGTTGAATGTATATAACTGTTTTCTTTTCTTTTTTTTTTTTTAAGAAAACGTGTTTTAAAGGGACACAATAATTAGTGTGGCTCTGTTGGTCTGTTCAGCTTCTTGCCTGAAGGCACTCGGTACAGAGGAGCTGTGCGAGGGTGGGCAGAACAATCCGGGAAAGGCTGACGCTCTGTGCGTGTTCGGGATCGTTACCGGTAGGTGGAGCTGCCACGTTAGGTGCTGCGGTTTTGTCACTTCTCCCCTCCATCCCCCACCCTTCTCCCCCCCCGCTCCTAATAAGCTGTTTTCTGATATATGTTGGGTACCATAGAGTGAGACTGAGAACAGGAAGCGGAGGCAGAATCAGAGAGGATTCTGGAAAGGTCTCTGTGTTTTCTTTTCCACGGAGAATACAGAAATTGTAATTCATTAGTAAACCTTTGTGGATGGAAATCTGGGCTATTTCAGGAGGAGGCATATAGTACATCATGTTTGAATGCTGGGCTTTGCAGTGATTTTTCCTTCTCTTTCAATCAGGTAAGCTGGCATATCATTTAATTTTACCCATTATAATCATGGCAGTATGATAATCTCCACATTTTGGAATTGGATTGTACCCTCTGGTTTGCTGTTAAGGTAGAGCCAAAGATGGAATGGGGAATTCAAAGCCATTTTGTACTGACTGCTTGTGATGATGGTGTGATTTTTTTCATTCTAACCTTGTTAAATCTGGTATCTGGCCTCTTGTGCTTAACAAGATGTTGTGATGCAGTAGTCTTACTTACAAAATCGGATCATTTTATAATCAAGGTATACTAAATTAATTTGAAGCATTTTATACAAGTGACCTTGTTTTCCTAGGAAGAAAAATCTGGTGATATTTAGACTCAGGAACAGCAGGTCTCATAAGATTCTGAGCATCTCAGACTCTGATGATCCAGGAATAAAATCTATGCTGTTTGTTACTGCTATTTTCAATATCTATATATAGATGGTATTTGAAGAAATTCCCTTATTAGCTAAATTTTGTAAAAGATATATGAGGAAAATTTTTTCCTGTGCCTTTTTTTTTTTTTTGCATGGTTGTGTGTGTGTGTGTATGAGAGAATGGGCTCACCAACTGTTAATTAGCCAGAGGTTCACACCAAATATATAGTTCACATTTTGTCTGTAACATTACTGTCAAGTTTAACATATGCTTCTTAATAGGACTGTTTGAAGGAATCAGCACAAGAATTATATTTCTTCATTTTATTGTCCATTCATCTATTGTCTGCTTCATTGTTATCAGTAACAATTAAAGCTGTCAGTTATTAAAGGTTAAAGGAAAATATCTGTTGAAGATCACCTTGATGTGTGAATTCTTTTTTTAATAGTGGTTCTACAGACACGCATAGACATTAAAAGTATATGTGTTGTCATAGTATTGATTTGGAAATTATTTCCAAAAGAAAGCAGTAGAAGTGAAGAAATGCAAAAAATCCATACAGCAGAATAAGGAGCTCACAGTTTACAAACCACCACCTCAATCCAAACAAGAAAAGGAAGCAAGGTTGGATCTCAGGTGGTAGTCTGAGTAGGAAGTGAGGCCTGTACCTGAAGTAGTGACACAAAACAATTAAGTTTTTAATCAATGTGCCTGTGGTGTCCTTGTGTAACTTCAGAATAAATAATCAGCAATAATAATGGTTTGTTTTAGAAACATATTGTGTTTGTGCTTTCATAATTGATATGTCCAGAAAACAGTTTTGGAAGAAGACTTTTTAACTCTAACAGTTTAATATTTAATATTTGCTCTCTTGCACATCTCCATTTTGGGATGAAAGATTGTTAAAGACAGGAATGTGAGCTGCTGCAGTAATTTGAAGCTTTGTAGCACCTGTTAAACAGATATGTTGTTTATTAGGCCTTGATGTCTATAGAAATTATGCTTGTGTTGTTAGCCTGTTATTTTTCCCTCTAACGAGCAGAAGAGCCCATATTGATTTTCTTAGTGTGTCAATTAAGCTCAGTATTGCAAAATCCTGTTTAGGTAATCCTAGCTGCTAGGAGAGGTTGATGCTTTCAGATTCTGTCAGAGTGGTAGTTTGGCCATTTCCCTTTATTATCAGGTAACCTGGAGTGGGGAAGGATCAAGGGAAAGAAGACAGTATAGAAAGTATGGCTGTTTTAATCAATATACTGCTGACGCATTTTGTGTTTTCACCTCTTTTTCTTCACGGATAGCATTAGATGAGTTAACTTGTACCTTAGAAAGATTAGGCATGGAAAGAAATTTATTTGTCCTCAAAAGAGTAAGAATTTTAGAAAGAAAAACGATAGTGGGGTGTAAGATGAAACTTCCTGCCTTATGATATCCATTTCCTTCTGCTGCTCACATCTCAGCCCAATATAATTTGTTCTCTGTATGCTATGTGCTAATTACATTACTGGAGTCCCACAGCTTTTGATGGATCAGAGAACACCAGATGCTAAGAGTTCTTTGTACATGGCAGGAAAGTTGTGACCTTGCTCTCTAAAATACAAATCTTGGCCCCTTTTACTCATATGCTGTTCTTGATATAAAGTGACAAATGAAAGCAAATTGCTTGAACTCTGCTTCAGTTAAACCTAAGGGGAAATAAATGCAAGTTTCTAATATATGGCACTTCATTTGTTAAGACTGATCTATTTGGTGAACTTTGAAAATGACTAATAAAAATAAATTTTAGGAAGTTACATTTACTCCATTCTTTATTACAAAATTCTAGTTAGAAGTCAGACTCTTAACTTTCAAAATTCTTGTTAGCTTATTTTCCACTCAGTGTAACTCTTCTGTGTTTTTTTAACTTACAGCTGTTAATCAGTAATACATACTGTTGCCATTTCAGGAAACATGGGGTTTTCACCCTCACTTGGCCAAATAAAAGGCTTAAAATATCATAATAAAATTGATGTTCACTGAAATTGACTGCTAATAGAACACATGTACATGCTCTGAGCTGTTGTTTTAGTGAGTCCATCAAATGTGTCAACCCTATAAAATCCATCTATAGGAAACTGCATCCTCTTGGAAAACTAGTGTTTCAACTACCACTCCTGATTAGAAGCTCTGAAGCACATTGCAATTGGCATCTCTCTCTAAGTTTGGTATTGGCCAATAGGACTCCTATAGGACCTTGATACTGGAGCCTATGTCTGCTTTCATCAAAATTTTCTTTATGAGCAGGTGGAATCCTTAGTATAGTACTGTGATAGTGTTATTGCTTCATTTTGCTTGTCTTATGATAAGGTAAAGTAGAGGGAATAGGGATAAGAGCAGCTCAGGCAGGGACTGTATTACTTCGAAATATAAATATAGAGTAGGAACACCATATGCTCTTGAGTAACCATAATGTGTGTGTATTACCACTGTAACCCGAAACAGGAGTAAGCAACTTAAATTCTAGGTCACAAAAGTATCTAGTCTCTCATTTGTTCATTACCCATCCCCAAATTATTTTTTCCCGGTACAAAGAAGCCCCCCAAAATAAACCAACCAACCAGAAAAAAAAACCCTCAAACAAAAAGCACCAGCCAACCCACCCCAAAACTGATTTCAAATTGTTACTAAACATTGTGGTCAGGGGTCTTGCTAACGTCTTCTTACAAAAAAATTACTGTTCACTTAGTCTGTCAACTAAGACATCACAGAATCTGTTTTACAGTGAAAAATGCAAGAAAAAGTTAAAACTTAATTAAAGAGCCTGAGCTTTTATTAGACTCTTTCACATGTACAACCTTAAGGAAAAGGTTATTTATGCTCAGATTTATTATTTGTCTAGTTATTAATTCTTTATTGCTATTGATATTTTTTTTCTACTGAATAGTTTTACTTAGGGCAGTGTAATCATAGAGCTACCATGTGCACAGGTTCCTTTTTCAACCTGGAATTGGTTTTCCTGCTAATTCTTTGCATTCCCGACTCAACCTGCTGGATGTCATATATCCTTATCAAATGCTCACATTTTGAGTATGTGTATATTGACTATATAGTCATTCTGCAGCGAGCCTGGCACATCCCAGATATATTGATTGCATACATGCTGTGCTGTTGAACTACCTGCTCAGCAACTGCTCAGCAGAGCTGATGTTTCACATGGGTTGAAGTTGCTAGATATATATAGTTCAGCTGAAGAGCACATAGAGCTGAATCCCTATCCCTGCAATGCATCAGGCACATCCTCATATTTCTTTGCAGGATTTCCTGAATGAAAGTATGAGGCAGACTGCTAAATCTGAAAAGATGTCACACGTGCCAGCATGGGAAATGGCTGGGAAGATTATCAGCACTATTGGCTCTGTGATCCCCTTTACCATACTCCAGTATAACCAGTTAACAGGAAGATCTTGGGATAGGTGTACAATGCAGGCAATTTCCATTTATAGATTATTTATGCTCAAATAAGACATTGCTTATTTAATTTTAGGCCCCCCTTTTTGATATACAGGGGAGTAGTGTTTATGGTCTTTTAACGTAATTTATTTTAAGAACAATATGAAGTGAGAAACTTTATCTGCTTAACCATAAAATATTATTCTCTATGATTATAGAGATTTCTAGGAAGTTAAAGGTTTGTGATGAAAATCAATACAGAAATGCAGATGAAGAATTAAATGAGGAAATTAATTGTTCACATGAAAAATATTTCCTTTTATGCACGGCAACATAGCTCTATGTAGCCTGACTACTGTATTAATTGAGAAAAAATCTGCCATAATTTCTTATGAATCATGTCCTTTCACTGCCTGGTAGTCCTGGAATAGGAAATTTCCTGAGTATGTAGCCCGAATGTGGGCCCACATGTTCACTTGCACTTTCAGCAAACTTTCATTGCCTTCTCAAAAGGCAGTCACAGAGGACAACTGTGTAAGTGTACCAAGACTTTGCTATAAGATATTTTATCCCTTTTTATTAATATTTGAAATATATGTGCTGCAGTCTTGGAAACGTGAAGGTGGATTCTTCTTTCTCCCACCTAAAAACACAGAGTGGGTTTTTTTTTTCTCAGATGCAATTAACATGATACCAACTTGATGATACCAACATGATTTCCTTGAGCATGGAAATTACTCCACAGTTATAACTGTTAAGAGCCTTTACTTTTGAATGTATATGTGATGGTGCAGTGGTTAAATAGTACAGATCAAGCTGGTAGACTTCAAAATCAGGATATTAAGTCATAGTAATGCAGAAGCCCTATACATTTTAGCAAATTTAACCTAACTCTACAGTGACAATCAAAGCATTTTCCACCACAGATAATTGTTCTTATTTCAATAAATATTTGAGCATTTTTCCCTTGAAAAGCACTCTTTACAGAAAAATAATTCTCTGTGTCCAAACTGTGTCCAAAAATTCAAGTTTCCTGTGATAACCTTTATGTTACAGAGAGCCATTTTAAATGATGACCAAAGGCATACACCTCTGCACTCATGCACCCTATCAGAGAACAAAGCAAATCCCACCCATCACAAACAGCTTTGAATCTGTAAAAAAATTTAGTGTTATTTATAAC